TGTGTGTGTGTGTGTGTGTGTGTGTGTGTGTGTGTGTGTGTGTGTGTAAAGGAGGTTATTTCTCAGGAGCATTCCACCTTGTTTTTGAGACAGGATCTCTCGCTGAGAACTCCCTGGTTAGGCCACACAGTCTGGCCATTGAGCCGCAGGGATCTGCTTGTCTCTGCCTCCTAAGCACTGAGATGACAAGCACATATTGTCACGTCTACCTTTGTATATGACTTCTGAAAATGAACCTCAGGTGCTTCCATTTTCTGCCTCCCCAGCCCTCAGAAGTGGATAGAAGACCTGCTAGCTAATTAAGATGTACAGCAGGCAGATGGTTTATTCTTGGTTTCCCAGGAGAAACAAACACTATTGAGGGTGTTTTTTTTTCATTCATTTGATAACTTAATAAAATGCATTAGTGCAATGAATTGTAATTGAAAATATATAACAATACATGTTTGTGTGTATACATCTATATTTTAAGGCAAATATAATAATTTAAAATCATTTTCTTCAAGCACATGCATAAATTACAAAGGGATATATATAGCTTTTCTTTTTTAATCTATGTTTTATACGGTGTAAGGTCTCTGTGGCAATTCTGCCATTGTGTTTCAAAAGCAGCAGTAGAGAATATGTAAGGAATATGGCTGAGTTCAGTAAAGCTGCTGGCCCCAGCTCCAAAGGAAGTTCAGTAACTGCTTCTACCAGTAGAGCAACGGGGAGGCAAAGCATAAACAAAATCCCTCATCCCTGAAAGCTCACCTGTCCAAACTGCTCTATGCCTTTTTCTCGTCAGCTTATTGTCTTCGTGTCCCTGAGGTCTGCTAGAACTTGGCAAAGGCTCAGTCACTGTAAGATAATTTAACATACTCTCAGGAAGTCTGTAAACTATGCAGTGATATTTTAATCACCTAATAAAAAGCAGACAAAATTAAACATACATAAACAGCAAAATTGAGTTTTTCAAGTCCTTAATTACTATGAGTCTTTAGTTACTTAATCATTCTCATTTCTATAATTTTGTTTTGTTTCGTTTTGTTTTGTTTTTGTTTTGTTTTGTTTTGAGACAAAGATTCACGTAGCCCAGGCTGGCCTGGAACTTACTACATAGCAGAGCATGACTTTGACCTCATCTTCCTGCCTCTGAGCCCCAAATGACGGAATGATGGGCATACACTACCATGTCTTGTTGATAATTTTTAAATCCATCCCTAATGTTCATATTTCATCTGTCCATCAAAAGTTGTAATGATCTCAGCAAAGTATTGTTTTAAAAGTGATTTGAGTTAATAGATATTAACACTGCTTTTGGTTTATTGGAAAAACAGCATGTCTGAATGAGCATAAAACAATAAAAATGTAAATAATGCACAGACTCATTCAGTGATAAAAATCTGACTTAAAAGCAAGTTAGATTAATTAGCAGAGGAGTCTGAGCATTAGGGGAACCATCGGGCAATCTGTAAAGTAGGGAATGGTTTATAAGAGAAAAACAAATGGAATGTTTTAGTAGTACAAACAGAGCTATCTGTCAAGGGGTCATCAACAGGACAAGGCAGAAACAGAGGCTGATAGTCTATTTCCCTAGAAACTGTAATCTAACAGAAACTTATTATCTGAGATGCTGCTGGTTATCTCTATCTGAGGTTAGACATACAGTTAATTGCCCGTGTTCTAAGTGACCCACACAGTTCAGAGCCTCACGGCACTGGTGTGGTTTCAGACAGCTAACTTTTTTTTTTAAGATTTATTTTATTTTTAACTGTATGTGTGTATGTCTGTGTATGGGTATGTACATTGAATGCAGATGCCAAAAAGAGGCCAAAAGAAGGTGTTGGGTCCCCTGTAGTTGAACTTACAAGTGGTTGTGAGTTGCCTGTCATAGGTACAAGGAACTGAAATCAGATCCTCTGCCATCAGGGTACTTGCTTTGAATCACTGGGTCAACTCTCCAGCCCCCAACAGCAAACTTCTTCACCATTGTGCTATTAGAGAGTAAAGTTCCAAAGCACTGTGTTCTTTTATCTTTAGCAAAAGCAGCTATTCCAGGTTCACAAGTGGAAGGACACATTTCAAGATGTTTCGAAGATGAACGGGAGCAGAGTGAGAGGAAGGGATAGGCTTTAGAGAGGCAATAATAAAATAATCTCCACGAGAGGGGACGGAGCCATCGGAAAACTAAGGTCACAGACATCCACGGCCTTACGTCGATCTTGTATGCCAAAGCCAGAGCCATCTCTCCAGCCAAAGAATACATTAAATTGCAAGTTGACAGATTTCATTTTGTGCCATCTTTATCCAAAAAGTATCTGGGGGGAAAAATGTAGAAATGCACTGTGATTGGCTCAAAAGGAAAGAAAAAAATTGGAGCTTGGAAACCACTTAGCTCCCAGAAAGAAGTGAGAATGAGTGGAGAGAGAGAGAGAGAGAGAGAGAGAGAGAGAGAGAGAGAGAGAGAGAAGAGACAGAAAGTATGAGAACTCAAGACTTTCAACTATGGAAACATCATAAATATTGCAAACAAATCAGTCCACAGTGGGTGAGCAGAAGCTGGCAGAGCCTGCCATGCACTAACTGAAGTTCCAGTTGCCACAAATGTGCTCTTCAACTACATGTGGTGAACAGTCACAGACTGGCAACCGTGCCTGAGTGCTTAGTGATCAATTTGAAGAAAAGGTGATTGTCCTTGAGCCCATGGGCCTGAGAAAGAGCCATTAGGAAGCATTTTCATATTTCAATTGCTGCTTTCTGCGTTTTCTCATTCCGGTTCTCCACAAAGGTTGCCATTACATAAAATAACCTTGGCTTTTAGATGCTCACTAATGCGTGGTAAAGTCTGTAAATCTCACATAATGGGCATGCCAGAGTTTGCAGTAGTTTTTCCATTTAAAGTGGCCAAGTGGGCTTTCTAATCAAAACCTACCTTAAGAGTAGGATTAGCAGGGTGCTTGTATAGTAAGCATAGTCACTGAGCATGGTGAGTGTTCAATTATGGGCAAGCAAAGAAACATTGCCTCTACTGTGGGTTTTGAAAGTTTACTTTCAGAATAAAATGTATAAACTGGAGAAAAACTCAAAAAATATTGGTTAAGAAACCATACTAACAGTAATTCAGCCTCTACTACCTAAGTTCCCAAAATGTACAATCTCACCAGCGTATTAACTTTAAACTTTGATGCTGCAAGCACAGCTTCATCTTTTATTAATGTAAAACAAACAACTGTCCAGTAGTACGCCATTGCTTCTTTAGCATTGAGACTTGCCAAAAGATTGGGTTTTAATTATCTATGCCTATAGTTGAAGTTAGTTTAATTCTCTGTCTTTTCATTGTAGCATCAGCGATCCCATGAAGACCCCGCAGCTCTGAAATTTAGCTTCTATGAAGTGATCTCTGCTGGACCCAATGCACCCTGGGAACTCCGAACCCTGCAGAAGAGATGCCTGGTCCCTGGGTGGTATGCCAGCCACATCGAGAGATGGCTTGTTTATTTCCCTCCATTTCAGGTATGAAGCAACGGGGGCTTACAGCATGCAATAACATCATTAAATGGATGCCTTTGCGGCAAACACAGAAGAAATATTCACTCACTAAAACATTGTGGGGTTTTATCCTTTAGTTGCCAATAATCATACTGGCAGAGAAAAATAGGCACATGCTGAAAAAAAATGGTTTAATTTTCTAAGAGTATCTCAGGCTAATTCTCCCTGGTCAACGTGTTGGCATGAGCATGCCATCCCTGACTTTGTGAGATTTGAAAAGCTTCCGCTTGCCAAATCCTGTTCTGACGTGAATAAAGCCCGATGAGAAGGGATGTCTTCTCCAAACCAGACAGACATCATTTTCTTTAATGAGTATCATGATCTCCGTTCTGAAACACCTTGCTGAAGTCTTCGTGTGCCCCGTTCCTCTCATCCCTTCCTTTGTCTCTTTCACTTGCCATCAGCTTTTATAAACACTCAGTCCCTACTCTGGATTTCATAAGCAGCCCAGTAACACCAGAAGTCAGTCCTGTGGCTCGAAAACCATGTGTCCAATATGCTAGCTGTGAGCGCCTACAGCTAATTAACATAGAACAGTTAGGTAAAACTTCAGACTCAGCTCGTTTTCGTTAGATGCGTGCAAAAGCAGCATAGCTTCATGTTAGATGCAGCGGTCTGTCCGAATAATGGTAAGTTCTATCGGACCCCCAGTGTAGACTAAGAATAATGGAAGGGGGAGCTTTGACAAAGTTGTGTGAAAAGGTCTGTGACCTACTGTCGTTTTGTCATGCTGAGTTATCTGTCACCACACACCGGAGAAACAAATTCTTTCCTATGGTTTCTTTTGGTTTTGGTTTTGTTGTTACTGTTTGCTTCATTTTCTAGAGGCAAGGTCTCACTCTACAGCACAGATTGACCCCAAGCTCAAAGAAGTCCTCCTGCTCCAGCCTCCCAAGTGTTAGCATTACATATGTGGCCCCTGTTAGTTTGTATTGTTATTATTATTATTATTATTATTTATTTGTATGGGTCTGTGTGGATGTACATTGCATATGTGTGGGTTCTCTCAGAGGCCAGAAGACAGTCGGGTCACGTGGAACTTGAGTTACAGGAGGTTGTTGGTTCTGGGAACTGACCCCCGCTCCTCTGTGAGAGCCTTCTGTATTCTTAACCACTGAGCCATCTCTTTAGCCCCTTCCATTTCTTGTTGTTGTCTTGCTTGGTTGTTTGAGACAGGGTTTTTCTGTGTAGCCCTGACCATCCTGGAACTCAGTCTATAGATGAAACCAGACTCAAACTCAGAGATTCACCTGCCTCTCTCTGGGCCTAAAGGCGTGAGCCACCACTTTCCAGTGACATTCATTTCTTGAGCAGCACTCTGCCCTTATTTGCGTCTCTGAGAATCCTGCCTCCTTCCATATGCTTATCAAAGGATTTCTCAAATGCTGCTCCTGAATGGAATTGGGGGAATGATAGGTCCTCTGTCTCATTACACCTAAACTTATTATAACCCTTCTATTCAGGAGGTAGAGTCACAGCAATGAGGGGGTGGGAGTTGCTGTTTTAGACGCTCACAGTGGCCTCAAGCTCACACTCCTTCTGACCTGGTCTCCTGAGTGCTGGGATCTGAGGCAGGAGCCAGAACTCTGACTTAATTGGAAACTTCGTTCTGTGTAGTCTTCTGTCCCAGACTCAGCCCTTGAGTTGGAATCTCACGACTACACACCTAAGCATGCTTTGTCCCCATTAATATCATAGCTTTCATATCATTTCCCTGATTTGTCATATAACGTCAGAATGCCTAATTAGCTTGACTTATTTCCGAGTCACTAATGTAAATTACTTTTGGCACCTCCTAACAATGTATTGCAGATCCCCAAGGACTATGCACAAGCAAGCAGAGAGTACAGGAATTTGTCGTTGTACAGTTGACACATGTGTTTTTCAACATCCATGTCTTTTTTTTTTCTTATTATTACTTTGGTAATTTAGTTGCTAATCATCGACGGGCAGCAGCTAAGAACCGCCCCTGCGACCGTGATGGATGAAGTCCAGAAGTTTCTAGGCGTCTCACCTCATTATAATTATTCTGAAGCTTTAACGTAAGTTCATATTCTAATTAACTTACTGAAGTTTCAGCAAGGAACCGATTGTAAAGAAATTGTAGTTGGGCGATATGATTCGCTGATCAGTGGCTTTTTTGAACATTGACTGTTTTCTAAGTTGACATTTCCCAATTGAGAAAGAACATTCAGACAGTGTGACATAGAAATGTCCTCGATATTCTTGATTCCTAACTTGGCAAAGATTTCCCCTAAAATGAACATGGAGAAAAGAAAAATAGTTGTGGCTCATTAAACTAACAAAGAACCTTAGAAGAAGAAGCGACTTGAAATGAGTAGCTGCCCTGGCTAGCTTTATGTCAACTTGACACAAGCTAGAGTCATCTGAAGGGAGGGAAGCTCAACTGAAAAAAAATGCCTCTATAAAATACAGGTGTAAGGCATTTTCTTAATTAGTGATTGTTGCTGGAGGGCCCATCCCACTGTGAGTGGTGCTATTCCTGGACTGCTGGTCCTGGGTTCTATAAGAAAGCAGGCTGAGCAAGCCATGAAGAACAAACCAGTAAGCATCAGTCCTCCATGGCCTCTTCATCAGCTCCTGCCTCTAGGTTCCAGCCCTGCTTGACTGAGTTCCTGTCCTGACTTACTATGATGAGGGACTATGATGCTGATGTGTAAGCCAAATAAACCTTTGCCTCCCCCGAGTTGCTTTGGTCATGGTGTTTCATCACGGTGACAGTAACCCTAAGACCGTCGGTAAGAGCAGAACCCACTTAACAGGTGATACGGGAACTTCTTGGCAGCATGAAAGAGATGACTGGTACAGTTTAGGAAGTGACCTTTCTGTGGCTTTCAGAAACAATGTCATATAGCAGAAAGAGCCCAGTGGTTGACTGGATAGGAGGGGGCATTGTAATAAGGCTAAGTATGCTTCGTGTTTTCTTTGCCTTTACCCACTGTGAATCTCACCCTGCACCCTCCCTTCAACAGTTCACAGCACTGGTTTGGGTTTCGTTTGGTTTGGTTGGTTGGGAAGGTGGTTTGGTTTGTTGGAGGTTTGGTTTTTTTGCTAGTTTTCACTGGTTTTCCCAGGTGGCTGACTGGAAACTGGGACTCAGGTGAGGAAAGCTAAGCAGCAGAATTTTTTTCTTTCTTATTTATTTATTTATTTATTTATTCATTCATTTATTTGTTTTTTATTTATTTATTTTATGTATATGTGAGTACACTGTTGCTCTCCTCAGACACCTCAGAAGACAGCATCAGATCCCACTACACATGGTTGTGAGCCACCTTGTGATTGCTGGGAATTGAACTCAGGACCTCTGGAGAGCAGTCAGTGATCTTAACCACTGAGCCATCTTTCCAGTCCTAAGCAGCAGAATTTTAAGGAAGTGTCAGCGCTTACACAGTGTGTGGACCTTCACGTTTGAGCCCTCAGTCTTCCTTGTCACCCTTGTCCTCCTCTGCAGTCTGTCATGAGGGCTCTGCTTGCTCTCATCTCAACTGAGCAACTCGGCAGAGGCATGAGATGGGCAGAGTATAAACCATATACTCACTACATACTTCTTAATTCTAGGATTAATGGGTCGAGCCTTAAAGAAATTTAAAAAGACTATATTATGAAATACTTCTATTGTGCAATTCTTAAAGCATAAATATTCTTAATGTTTATTATATAAAATGTAAAATTATATAAAAATGTATTGTTAGCATATTTTATAATTTAAGAATTTCATGCACTATATTTTAATCATTTTCATCTCCCTCTCCTCCCCCAACTCCACCCATATGCATCCTACATCAGTATCCTTCTTCCAACTACATGACTTTTCCATCTCCCTCCACATTTAATGTCACCATCATCATCACCATCAATTTCTTTGGTCATTTCACCCCTCCCCCAACTCCTCCCGGATAAAACTTAGTTCCACAAATGATCTGAGTTGTCCTCTGCTGTTGCACTCTATTCTATGACAATTTTAAAAGTGAGGAAAAGGTTTCTTCTTCCTTTCAACACTGCTTGCAATAAAGAGTTGGCAGAAAGACATCAAACCCTGCATATAGAGTGTACCAACCATTTGTAGAGATGTGTTAGACATTCTGGTTTAGAGGCCAAAGGATACTGTATCTCTGAAGTTTCCAGCTTTCTTCCCAGGAGTCTCTTACTTGCTGTTACCATTCACCTGCTGAGCCAGTTTTCTATACCTCTAGTATGGCCAGTTTTGTGAAGGTTTAGTCCAACAATTGATAAATACTAGCCTTAAGTATTTAACATTCAACTTAACCTTAAAGAAAGCTGAGTGCTTTTAGTTTACAGTTAGAAATTCAAGTCCACTTTCTGCTTTCTGCTTTAAGTATCTATTTGAAAAAGAAAGCTTTTATTTTCTAAACGATTTTCTATTTCAAGTTGGCTTATCTTTGTGTCTTTTTATAGGGTATCTGGCAAGGTATTGTGTTTCAGAAAAAAAAAAAAGAAGTAAAGTAGTCTATAAAGACATAATTTCTTTTTCTTGTAGAGTGGTCCTTGACCTGCATGCTGTGTGTTTGTCCTCTCTGCGTCCTGCTCAGCAGACAGCTTTTTTATTCATCTCGATTGCTGGAAAAGGCAATGTGAACTTGAGAGACGAACAATCAAAGAAACATACTATATACAAAGAACTGTGGGTCACTGTGCACCTGGAATGTAGCTAGCTAAAATTACCCATTATGTGATTCTCTTACCTAGTCCAGCAAGTAGCAGGGTAAGATAGCTGTAATCTGTGAAAGCAGTTTCGGGGCCAGCAGGGCTGCCCTCGATGTCGCTTTGCTGACATAGATAATGTACTTCCAGGGTGTCTCTTTCCACGTTTTCTTGTCAGTCATTGATTGGCCTGACACACCTTTTAAAAACCTGCTGTGCACTTGTTGTAAGATATTTGGATAATACATCGTATTGTCCTTGCGTTGAAATGGTTCTGCCCTTACTCTGTGCCCTTCTAGGTTGTTTATCTGGATCCTGTTCTAACAATCCCTTCCTCCCATCAGAGTCTCTGTGACACAATGGGTGCTTCTCAATGCTTTGGAAATGTGGCCTGACTGTGAGAAGAAAATGAATTTCAGAAATACCATTGACACAACCACCAAGAGACTTCCCTGTGCATACTTTAGCATTGCTTAAACTACTAATGATAGTGAAGATTATCTGGTTTTGGTACAAAAAGAAAAAAAAGAAAAGAAATGTGTTATCATTGGACCACTCACTCCAACACTTAGTATTTCTAGGTGATCTCTTGTGGATACATTACATAATCTTTTGTTATTGGATATTTTCTTTATTTACATTTCAAATGTTATTCCCTTTCTCAGTTCCTCCCCCCAAGCCTCCTATCCTCCCCCTCCCTGCTTCTGTGAAGGTGTTCCCCCACCCACCCTTCCCCCTTCCACTCCTTCCTCCCCACCCTGGCATTCCCCTACACCAGGGCATCAAGCCTTCACAGGACCAAGGGCATCTCTTCCCATCGATGCCCGGCAAGGCCATCTTCTGCTACATACGCAGCTGGAGCCGTGGGTCCCTTCATGTGTACTCTTTGGTTGGTGGTTTAGTCCCTGGGAGCTCTGGGGGTTCTGGTTGGTTGATATTGTTGTTCTTCCTATGAGGTTGCAAACCCCTTCAGCCCCTTCAGTCCTTTCTCTAACTTCTCCATTGGGGACCCCATACTCAGTCCAGTGGTTGGCTGCGAGCATCCGCATCTGTATCTGTCAGGCTCTGGAAAAGCCTATCAGCTATATAATCTTGATATGCAGGAATATGCTAAGCGGTCTCTATGCTGATTATCTTCAATTGAGCTTACTTACTCACATATCAGAGGTACTTTTCAAAAAGCATGGCAAAAAAGAAAAAAACCTCAATAATTAAGGTATTTTTTTCCACAATGACTGAAGAAAATGTTACAGAATTCTAAATTTTACACAGAACCAACAGATAATATACAATGTTTTAAGTGGCTTTCTACTGTCATGGTGGGTTTCTAATGACACTGAACATTTGGTCATTTGTTGTTGCTGTTGCCTTGTTTTATCTGATTGTCTCGGTGAGTTTGAAGTAAACAGTATAAACCTAAAACAATGTAAATAAGAATTATCCAATCAGACTACCATTGTACAGCTGTTCAACATAAGCTTAACCCCAACCCCTGAAAGGGTTGCCATATTGATGCTTCATAAGCTGTGTTACAAAGTGTAAGAAACTGACTAGTCATTTCAGGGAAAGGAAGAGAAACAATGCCTGACACAGATTATGCAATTCATGCAAACCAAAATCAAACACATGAACTTTTAATTTGCCATATATCCATTCGGAATTATCAGTGGTCAGCAGATGTTTCGAAATGCTAACCCTGCAGCTCATCTCTTGTCGGGGCATACTTGTTCAGATTAATGAGACCAGATTGTGCTTAATGAATATTTAATACTAATGCACTTTGAAAATGTCAGTAGCGGGCATTGACAATGTGAAGCCCAGGGACTGACATAGTCTGTGTTTATCTTTTGTTTTGATGTGTTTCCTGGTTGAGGCTTGGGTAAGTCACAAGGGAATTTTGAACCTTCTTGACAATTCAGAAAATCTCCTCGTATCATTTTAATTACAGGCAAGTTAATATTGGCCAGAAAGTCCTTCCCAAATCACTGCTTATAAGCCTAAGTAAACTCTGCCATGTTAAAACTGCCAAAAAGTAGTTGTGATAGGAGCTATAATCTGTTGGGTTTCTGGATATCTACAAGAGAGCACCTGGAACAAGCTAAGCTGGCAGGAAAACAGAAAGCCCACTCAGATTAGTTGATACATTCCTAAGTGTTTATATAGTATAGAAACACACATTTATTTACTGAGTACCTTATATGTAGATACACATTTTTATATAGCACCACAAGAACACTATGTGATTGTCACAAGAACACTATGTGATTGGTGTTGTTAGTTCCTATCTCTTCTTATTGAAAATAGACCTTTTTCTCATGCAATATATTCAGGTTAGAGTCTCCCTTTCCCTAACTCC